CCAGTTGAAAAGATCTCTGCTATTTTCTGATGATGGTGCTTCCATGCTCACTTTGAATCTCTGTCTGAAACTGCTGAATTTGGTCGGAAGTGGGTGCCCTTCTGCAAAAAGTTTTTGATAGAGCCCCGAGCTCCAGAAATGTACTTTACCTTGAAGGTGGATTACCTCAAGGACAAAGTCCAGCCAACATTTGTTAAGGAGCGTCGAGCAATGAAGGTTAACATAAACTCCATAAAATCTCCTCTCATTACCAAACCTGGTGCTGCTATTCAATTCAACTGAGATGTGTTGTTTCTGGTATTTAACAGAGGGAGTATGAAGAATTCAAGGTCAGGATAAATGCCCTTGTGGCAAAAGCAACAAAGGTTCCTAAAGAGGGGTGGATCATGCAAGATGGGACTCCATGGCCAGGGAACAACACCAAGGATCATCCTGGTATGATTCAGATATTCCTTGGTAGCAGTGGAGGTCACGATGTTGAAGGAAACGAGCTTCCTCGTCTTGTTTATGTGTCTCGTGAGAAAAGACCTGGTTTCCTACATCACAAAAAAGCTGGTGCCATGAATGCCCTGGTAAGAATCATGAACATTGTTTTCAATCTTTTTTTCACACAGAACTCTTTTAACATTTGTTTACATATATTTTCAGATTCGAGTTTCCGGGGTACTTACCAACGCTCCTTTCATGCTGAACTTGGACTGTGACCATTATGTGAACAACAGCAAGGCTGCTAGAGAAGCCATGTGTTTCTTAATGGACCCTCAGATAGGAAAAAAGGTCTGCTATGTTCAGTTCCCTCAAAGATTTGATGGTATTGATAGGCACGACCGTTATGCCAACAGAAATACAGTCTTCTTTGATGTAAGTCACTGAAAAATTATCAAAACAAATGTTGTTATGTAAGAATTAAAGGAAGAGATTAAGTTGAAATTTCATTTAAATTTGCAGATTAACATGAAAGGTCTAGATGGAATTCAAGGTCCTGTATATGTGGGTACTGGCTGTGTATTTAGAAGACAAGCTTTATATGGCTATGAACCTCCGAAGGGGCCCAAGCGCCCGAAGATGGTAAGCTGTGATTGCTGCCCCTGCTTTGGACGCCGCAAGAAGCATAGGAAATATTCTAAGGGCGAACAAAATGGAGAAGCCCCTAGCTTTGAAGGTTTGCTTGATTCTTCAACTTGCTACTTGGACAGTTAAATAGGGAGGCGCTTATCTCTTGAAATTTTCATAACTAAATTTACTTACCTCTCTCAATGAATATGTATGTATCAGTTGGAATGGAGGATGATAAGGAATTATTGATGTCCCAAATGAACTTTGAGAAGAAATTTGGGCAGTCCGCAATTTTTGTGACTTCAACTTTGATGGAAGAAGGTGGGGTTCCTCCTTCCTCTAGCCCTGCAGCTCTACTTAAGGAGGCCATTCATGTGATCAGCTGTGGATATGAAGATAAAACTGAATGGGGGACTGAGGTAATCGCAATAATGACTTAATATTTGCCAACATTCCATTCCCAGATTTCTGATATCTTTAACCTGGATTAAGAGGAATTGTGCTAGGATGTAAATGCAGGATCATATAGTAAACCATGAATGACTCATCATAAACACGAAATTCTAAATCATTTGAAATTCTGTTACTTCTTTATGTGCAGCTGGGTTGGATTTACGGATCAATTACAGAGGATATTCTAACAGGTTTCAAGATGCATTGTCGTGGTTGGAGGTCTATATACTGTATGCCAAAGAGACCCGCATTTAAGGGTTCTGCTCCCATCAACTTGTCTGATCGGCTCAACCAAGTGCTTCGATGGGCACTTGGATCTGTTGAAATCTTCTTTAGTCGCCACAGTCCTGTTTGGTATGGCTACAAGGGAGGCAATCTCAAGTGGCTAGAGAGATTTGCATATGTGAATACTACTATTTACCCTTTTACCTCTGTACCTCTCCTTGCTTACTGCCTCCTCCCTGCTATCTGCCTGCTTACTGATAAATTCATCATGCCATCTGTAAGTAAAACAATTCTTGTTTTCACTAGATGAAATTAAATGAATTCTGCATATAAATAAACTTACTCCGGCTTCAATCCCAATGCAGATAAGTACATTGGCAAGTCTCTTCTTCATTGCCCTCTTTGTTTCAATCTTTGCTACCGGTATCCTTGAGATGAAGTGGAGTGGAGTGGGAATTGAAGAATGGTGGAGAAACGAGCAATTCTGGGTCATTGGTGGTATTTCAGCTCATCTCTTTGCCGTTGTTCAAGGTCTTCTCAAGGTTTTGGCCGGTATTGATACAAACTTCACTGTTACCTCAAAGCAAACCGATGATGAGGAATTTGGGGAACTGTATGCTTTCAAATGGACAACACTTCTTATCCCTCCAACAACCGTGTTGATCATAAACCTTGTTGGTGTTGTTGCTGGGATCTCAGATGCCATAAACAACGGTTACCAATCATGGGGACCTCTGTTTGGGAAACTATTCTTTTCTTTCTGGGTGATTGTGCATCTCTATCCATTCCTTAAAGGTCTTATGGGAAGACAGAACAGGACACCCACCATCGTTGTTATATGGTCTGTGCTCTTGGCTTCCATCTTCTCCTTGCTGTGGGTCAGGATCGATCCATTCGTACTCAAAACCAAGGGACCTGACACTACGCAGTGTGGCATCAATTGCTGAAAAGAAGAAAAAGTACTTTGTTTTGCTTCTTTCTAATTGCATCTCTACAAAGGATGCATTTGCTTTCTTGTCTCTACAAGCAGTATCGATTGTCATGTATATGATGAACCAACAACAGGGTGATGCACAAGAAAGAATAAACCTAGAGTGAAAATTTTTTGTCCAGCAATACTAAATACCCATTGTTTTACTTGTCATATGTATAGCTTTAATTGCGTTATGAATTCATGCCAACGTGAATGAATTTAGCTTGTAAAAGAACAAGACTTCTCTTTCAAATTGTGCCTTATGTTTGGATTTTGTAGCAACCACTTTTTCAAATTAGCTAGATCCTAACATCTTTATTCTTTAATTTGAATATATAAATCTCCCACCCAAACAAAACAAGAACCCTAAGTTTCAGGGAAAGCGTGGTGGTGTTTTATCAACTATTTTCTCCTAGGAGGATCAAGAACACCAATGTGCATCAAGTGTTCTGTGAATCCCCAACTTTGACCCTGCGTGTAAACCTTCAAAATAGTAAGAGTTGAGGATTGAAATTCAGGCAAAATCATTATCCATGAAGAGGAAGATTAACACGATATTGTCAGCTTTTGTCAATCACCCTTATTCACAGACCAAACTGATAGGACATTTATTTGAAAGTCATGCTCTTAACAATGAGATAGCAATATTTTGCTCTGAATTGGAAAAAAAAAATTTCCTGATAATATCTACGCATTATAACTTACATATGTACACCTAATTTATGATTTTGAATGAGGTTTGACCACAAGTAAGATTTGGGTTACCTGTTGGAGCTAAAAATTATTAAGCAAAACATGAATAGGGGAGTAGAATTCTGAATCCCTTCCCAATGAAATGAATGATTGCAGTTTGACCCCGTAGAGCCTGTTCCTAACTGTTTTCCAGATGACTCAAATGGACAAACTGTTGATGGTGGTGATATGTGGGCCATGTCATTTATTACAGATCTTCTCAGTGGAAGGGAAGGAATCAATGAGGAAGCAGTGTTGACATCTGCCTCAACAAGGCTGCATATTTTAGTAACTGCACAAGAAGTTCCCTTCTGATTTGTTCAACTTTCCATGACCATTTCCTTTTTATGATCTTGGAAGTAGGCACGAAGGTCCAACAGATAAAACACAGGAAGTTGTGAGGCTTCGCCGCTTGTTTTTCATCTGAACCCTTGAGTCAAGAATGTTTCACCAGTAGTCTCCGCAAGAACAGATGCCATCTTGAAAATGATGGAATCGATTAGCATCCCTGACCACAATGATTCTCTCTGTAACTTTGGATATAAATTTGGTTGCAATATGGCAATCTAAACAAACTCGGAGGTTCTTAATGATCCTAATTTCAGTTCCAGGTTCGGTGGCTATGAGGCCAAAAGCAATAGCCAGTTTCTCGCTATGAACCTTCACCATTAACTCCTTCTCTTCCTCCTCCACATCATGCAAAGCTGTGACAGTTTCAGTCTGAAATCCAGCCTCTCTCATTTTTCCCATCAGTTTCTCAAGCATTGCATAGATTTCAGTGGCCCGTGGATGGGATTGGTCTCCAGATGTAAAGACATGTGGCCTATCACCAATTTCAATTAGGGTACATCCAGGAGTCTTTCCCAGTTTTCTCCTCTTGATTACTTGTCGGATAGAGGCAGCCTGTGGATAGTTCCTCTCAGCTGAGTATATGTTAGAGAGTAAGATATAGTGTCCTACACTTTCTGGATCCAGTTCAAATAGTCTTTCAGAAGCTACACGGGCTAAGTTAGTGTCTTTATGAATCATGCAAGCACCAAGTAACGCGCCCCAAACAGGAGGACCTGGCTCTACTGGCATTCTATTTATAAATGCCAAGGCTTTCTTTAACTGTCCGGCTCGGCCAAATATGTCAACCATACAGGCATAATGCTCAGGTAAAGGTTCAAAGCCATGATCATGGATCATAGAGTGGAAAATCCCATCTCCTTCTTTCACCAAACCAGCATGACTGCAAGCATACAAGAGAGAGAGGTAAGTAACTGCAGTTGGTGGAACATCAGAATGCAACATCTCAGAAAAGATTTTAAGTGCTTCTTGGCCATGCCCATGGAGGCCATAACCTGAAATCATGGCATTCCAAGTTACCACATTCTTATTCACCATTGAGTCAAATAATTTCCGAGCCTCCACAATGCTTCCACATTTTGCATACATGTCAACTAGTGCAGTTGAGACATATATGTTAGACTCAAAATTCTTGCTCTTAACTAAGCTATGTACCCATTTCCCCAAACTTAGAGCTCCAAGCTGAGCACAGGCTGAAAGAATACATGTAACTGTAACAGGGTTCGGGTCTACTTCTGATATCTGCATTTCCCGGAAAAGAGAAATTGCTGGCTCTGTCAATCCATTCTGTGTGTAACCAGAAATCATGGCATTCCAAGAGGCCAGACTTTTATTCCTAGACTCATCAAAAAGCTTCTTAGCAGATTCAATCTCATTTAATCTACTATATACAGTGGTCAGAGCAGTTGAAATAGAAGAATGAGAAACAATTCCAAACTTCGCACAAAAACCATGAATGCAACAAGTAGGAAATAAATAACGACAGGGAAAAAACACCGGTATCAATCCTACAACAGTGGCAGAATTGATTTTCTTTCCAGAAGCAAGCAATTCCTTGAACAGCCTGAAGGAAAGCTCTGTCTTACCATTACAAGTATACCCAGAAATCATTGCATTGCAAGATATCAAATCTGGCATTGCAATCTCTTCAAACAATGAACTTGCAGCCTCAATCTCCCTACACTTAGAATACAATGAAATGAAGCCTGTAAGCACAAAAATATGGGAGTGTAAACCAATCTTCATGGCCAAACATTGAATCCCCATCCCAATTCTCAACTCTTGCAACTCTGCCACAGCTGTAAGCACTGCTGCCAGAGTCCTAGAATCCAATGGTGTAGCACCACGCTTAAACATATCCATAAAAACACGAATTGATTCTTCGAATAAACAATTATTAGCCAATCCAGATATCATTGTATTCCATAAAACCGTATCTCTGTCCGGCATTCTGTCAAACACCTTCCGTGCTAATTCCACCCTCCAAAATTTGAAGTAAAAATCAATTACCGACGACCCAACAAACAGATCCATTCCATACCCAGCAACAACCACTTGCCCATGTAGCATGAGACCCACTCTCTCATCCGCCAGACTCGACGACGAAGCCATAGTGAAGGCATAAGTGAAGTTGTCGGGCTTGAGATCCGGGCATCTCCTGAGGTGGGTAAAGAGCGAAATCGAGGAAAGAGAGGATTCATTGTTGGAGAAGCCACGAATAAGGACGTTGAAGAGGAAGATGTCGGGGTTTCGGACGGAGAGAAAGAGGCGACGCGCGTAGCACATGGCGCTGAGATCAGAGAGCTTGTGGGTGAGTTTGGTGACCAATGCAAGATCATTTTGGAAGCCATGAATGGTGATTTGAGCGTGGGTTTGGGTAAGGTGGGAGAGAGCCGCGGCTCTGCTGAGTAGATCAAGGAAGAAGCTTTTGTTTCGTGGGGTATAAGAGATTGCAGTCGTTAACATCTGTGTTTGTTTTAGGGTTCATTCCGTAACCGTTTGTGACCGTTCTTTAATTTAAAAAAACGGCGGGAAATCCTTCCTGATTTCTGAACAGATGATTACGAGTCAATTTTATTAAAAAAAATTAAAAAAAAAATTTAAGCATTCATTTTTTGTTTAATTTAATTTTGATAATTTAAAATAAAAAATATTAAATTACATAGAAATCTACAAATAGAATTCTAAGTACATGAAATAAAAGGGTCGATATATAAAAATTAAAATATATAGAGATCGATTCTAAAAAAGCTACTTCATCCGTATTTATTCAAATTAAATTAAATTTTTAATTAAATTTATTTATCTCATCCTAAATTTTTAAGGACAAATCCAAAATAAGTTTCTAATTTATAACATTTTCTGTTCACGTATTTTTTTTTTGTCTATCTATTTGCAGACACCGATAATAATTTATTTAAATTTCAAAGTCAGTTATTAGAAATGTTATCTCATAGCTCTCTAAATATAATGTGCTTCAATCACAAAAATTACATTTAAACATAAATCCAAACCCAAAATTTTGGGCTTTTAAAATGTTAAAATCTCAGAAATATAATTCACAGTTTTATAGATAAACATATATTAAATTTTAGTTTTATTTGATTTTATAATAGCATTGCAGTGCATTTTTGAGTGAATTTATTAGAAAACTCATGATTCTTTTTTTTTTTTTCTTAATTCAAACAAATAAATTATGTTTTACATGATATTTTCTCCAAATTTTATACTATAATTTATTGCAGTTCTCGAAAATTACATTGATTGATGAAAGAGTCGTATCAGATTGATAGATACTCATGCAAATTGTGTTTTTTTTTTTTTTTGTATTTGTTGAAGTTTTTAGAACCATGAGCTATATATATATATTGCCGTCGGCAAGTTTTAGAAGAAATTAAATACAGACTCTTGAATAAAAATTTATAGTTTTCAGAATTCAGACGTGGTGAGTGATGGTCTAGATCGTATTATGTTACTTTATTGAATTTTAATGTTATGATATTTTCAGTTGTAGTATTTTAGGTCTTCAAGAACTCAGTGAATATATCAAGAAAATTACTTTGAAAAAAACAATCAATTGTAGAGATTTGATATTTCAAAAAATTCAAACACCTTTTTTTTTTTTTAATATATAAATATATGTATGTATGTATTTTAGTTGTTCTAATGCTATTGTATAGGTCCTTGAAAAAAGAACAAAAGGGTATACGTTTGCTTCAGAATTATAAAGATGGGAGAGCAACAATATGTGGCATTGTTCGTAATATTCTTTAATTTCAGTCTCATTGTTGTTTTAATAGCATTATGTAGGTTTTGGGAAGTACAGTAAATTCACAACAGAGAATCTTTCACAGTAAGCAACTCAAGTTTAAAGGAGTGATCTTTCCAAGATCCTAAAAAATCATGATTTGTAATCCGTGACATTACATACTCAATTTTAGTTTTCTATTTTTAATAGCATTGCATGAATCTTGTGAAAGGTTAAATAATAAATTCATACAACATATCGACCAAAATAGATAGATACACCCAAGATAAATAACTCGGGGTGCAAAATTGTAACATGGTCTTACATACTGCTTTCTTAATTTTACTCTTATAATCAAACAATTACTACCATAGATCTAATAAAATATCATAGTTTGAAGGAAAGGCTTTTTACTCAAACAATGCAAAATTATGCCCCTACAAGATCTATATTTGAATATCATAGTTGCTTAAAAATCCTTGCTAAGTACAAAATTTTGCACATTTGAAGTTCTAAAAAGCACTAGGTTATATATCCAGTAAATACCATAGACTATTTCCTTGAGTTTAGTTTTTTACTTGTTCAAATGCCATCATATAGCTCTTGGAAAGTTAAAAAGTGCATTCATTAGATACATCACACTCTAAATGGACAATCCACCAGAGTTACAATCTTTCAAAAAAAGAAGGAAAAAAAAAAAATTGAAGTACTACTAGTTCATAATTTTTCAGGACATTTTACCATATTTTGTCTTTATGTTATAATGTTATGTGTCCTTTCAATCTTCTAAATCAAAAGTTATAATTTATAGACCTACTGAACTGATAATTCTTTATGAATAAGCAACTTTTGAAAAAGTAACCTAGATTAATAATTGAGATCCCCACAAAAGGTATACTCGAATATAGTGATGTATAATCTCGGGCTAGTAAGGCAAAAAGAAGATACTCTTTTTGAGTTTTGAGTTCCAAAATGGAAATGTAAAATGAGGTGGGTCTTTCCTAAATTTGTTGCTCCAGCCTATGTATACAGAATAATACGCAATTAACTGAACTACATTTTTCTTTCACCTGAAACCCTCTACATTTAATTTAAATCATCAGCTTCCTCTGTTTTTTTTTTTTTTCCCCTTTCATACGAGTAATACAAAAATTACTATTAAGGATGAGCCGGTATGAAAAATGGTAGAGAAGGGGGGGAAAAGAATTGACAAGAGAAATTACCACCACCATTATTAGGAAAAAAAAAAAAACGAACAAACAATTTACATTTACCGAGACTCGAGCAGACAGCAGGATTCATCTTGTGACGAAAGTGATAACGTGGTAAATTGTTAGAAAGTGAACCTGATTAGGGCCATGGAAATTTTTTGACTGGCAATTTTGGCGGGTTGCTCCTCTTCGAAGGTTGTTTCGTTTGTATTAGATGAGTCCAAAGACTGTACTCTTCTACCTGGTTGATGTCAAAAGAGATTCACAAACCGAGATAATAATATTAGTAAAGAAAAATCAAAATCAAAACCAAAACATGCATGATAGAGCTTGAACTGAAATTACAGAGTCTACTTGGGGACAATGGTGCCCAAAAGGCAACAATGTTTTCAAGGAATTTTTTAATATTTCAAATAATTCAATAATTTTGATAATAACTCAATTAAGTAGTAATCACTTATGCTAAATTAATATGAAATTTTAAGAGAGTTAACACTAAGGCATGTGTGCCCTCGAGGTATCATAGATTCTCCCTATACAAAAACTCTAAGTATATGCTCCCACAAATAGAATAACTTTATTGGAGACTTCAACTAAAGCCATTTGAATATTCAATCATGAAATCCATCCACAACTGGCATTAATTAACACCAGCCGTGTAAATATTTAATCATAAAAAAAACTCATCTTCACCACAATAGCTTGTGATCAAAATGAACAAAGGTTAAAATCTCATAATCACATTTCAACAATAATCCATCAGGAACTTCCACGAGCGGACTGCTTTAGTGGAGAATTACCTAACTTGATTAATAACATATCAAAACCTGGGTTTTTGTATTTCAGGAGGGTGAATTTCATAAAATTTTCGACTAAAACAGACCCAAGATTTGAATCCCTCGTATACATGTTCAAGCATGCTAAAAACTTGCAAATTTGCTAGGTGTGAAAAAAGATATTAGCTTTTGGTTTCATGTTATTCCTTATCCTACTTAGGTTGCATCCTCTAGCATCAACTTCAAGGGCTTTGGACCAAGAAACCCTAATCCTTAACGTTATTGTAAGGGCTTCAGAAGAAGGGATGAAATTGATAATTTCTCCAGGTTGGAAGACTCCTACAAATGTATCTTCAATCTTGAAAATGTATAACTGAGCTCTGTAGAGAGAAACATGCATTTTTCTTGAGAGTGAATGCTTATTTTTTGCATTCAATAAGTTGAAATTGGCAGATATCACTGCAAATTTATTAATCTTCTAGCTTTTTCATTAATGTTAATTTACTTATCATTTAAAAAGTTGACATAATTCATGAAAAGATTATGGATCCAAAAGAGAATCTCATGAATCTATTATTTGACCTTGATGCATCTGCTCATAAAAAGTTCCCAGAAAAACCAATGTATCTACGGAACATTTATGTTCCAATGGATTAAGCTTTACATTATTTGTTGCTTCCCCTTAAAAAAGAATATATTTTTTCTTCATGCAGTCAAATCTTTTGCAGCCATGGACATATATCAGGTACTGCTATATAAAAAGAAGTGTATTAGACTAGGAAATGGAAAATCTACATTTATGCATATAAAATATATGTAACCGCCAAGTTATTAATTTTAATTTTCAAGATTGCCGTTATTTTAGAGAGCCTTGAGCTCAGACTAAGATGGCTTATGGTTTCTATGTAGAGCTTGATTATGTTCATTCTATCCCATCCCAATAAAAAACATCCCTTCGGCTAAAGACCCAAAACCAAAAAAGATTGCCACTATTTTCATTTGCAAAATTAAATACGAGTGAAAAAGTAGTAGCAGTCTCCTATATTCACCTGCATCGCTGCTGTTGAAGCCAATAGTGCTTCACATTCGTCAAGCAAGGCTTTCTCTTGTGCAACTACAACAGCAAGCTCAGAAACCAAACTGTTCATTCCCTCTACCTGAAAGGTAAGATAAAAAAATGCAGTGTGAATCCAGATTTTGAACACAATGCAAATAACATTCAACAGCATGAAGAATATAACTTAGGGAGACAATTCAGAACTTCGTGTATTCATGGGAGCTACTGAGCGGCAGAAAGAAATAGTCAACATGTTATTCTTCGAAAAGCAGTTGACTTATATCAAGAACTCAAATTGTTATATACATGTAAACAAAGTTGTATTAAAAATGATGGTAGTTCCACTGAATAGAAAATTATAAACGATGTAATATAATATCCTAGGATCAGCATTTTTTTCTTTAAAAGCATAACCAACTATAAAATGAAGTAACTTGGTAATAAAACAATAATCCACTTGAGAGGAAAAGGATGGATGGGAAAGCAAACTTTGGAATGAGCATCATATCACATGATAGTATTAAAAAGAAAAAAAGTATCTTGATATCTTACATTTGAGAGTAAAGAACATATGGAAGATCCCATTGACTGCATCACGTCAACAGCTGAGGAAACAGCAGCCTTCAAAGATTCAATGTCAGCCTGTAAAAGTGCAAATACCAAATTATGCCTGGATTCCTCCTATTAGATAGCGACGGCAAACTTTTTTCATCCTAACATACCCTTGCCCCTCCAGTCACTGGGAGTCGAAGAGTGCTTGCCTCCAAATCTTCAACTGCCCCAGCTAAAGAGCTTACATGATCTCTTTCAAGTAAAGCCCAATCATCAAGGTATGCTAACTGAATCAATGATCATAAATACGAGGAGTTAAATAAGTGCAACTAATTCCAAGCTGAATTCACAGGAAATAAAGAAAAGCATCCAAAGAAGGGATGACTGGTTGCGAAAAGAATGAATAAAATAATAGGGGTAAGACAAATAAAGATATATAACCAACATGTTCAGCTTCTCCCAGCTGCAGTGAACAGGACTAAAAAGAAAGAAAGATATCAGCAGACTGTTGGTTTTATTCACAATCAACTCTGCCTTTGTGTCTTGGACAGATGGGATACCATCAAAACAGATTTTATCCTACTTTATTGTATCAACAGGAGCAGCTCAGATCAAAGTCATAAAGATATTTTAACCATCTACAGATGGCAATTAACATTTTCAACAAGCTAGAGGTTCTTGGTTCCAAATCCTTAGTTTCGGTTTTTTAGGGATGACATTCTCTCTTAGGGGAGAAGCTAAGGACATTATACATCTTTTGGGCTGCTCTTTTTTGGAAGGTCTTTTATATATGGGTGGCGCCTGTTTAGTGCCTTGTTAATGATTATCTTGGTCTTCTGGAATAAAGAAGGGCAATGAGAAATGGAGGGTATTCTTTCTCCATCCAATCATTATTATGAATACAAAAATTGTGCAATGAAGTTTAAAGCTGTACTTTCACAGAGATGCAATATCCTAAAATGGGAAACAATCCAAAAGTCCAAAAGCCAACTAGAAATAATAGTGCTTCCCTTTCACAAAAGGCAAGTCTATATGTGGTTAACAGATATTTCAAAAGAGAATTCCATGTTTAAGGTTACTTCACATTAATGCACAAGGATTTTTTTAATGCAAATTTTAATTGAGAATATGCTTAACAACTTAAAGATCTCAGTTGGTTATTGCTGCTATCTACCCTGGGATTAAGAAACAAGAAGTGAAATAGCATTATCTCTTCTAAGAACTAGTAACTACAACAAGATCAATTTGGCTGCTTGCAAATAATAAAAAATAGTGCATTGGCTTATACTAAGCATTGTGTATCTGGTGATCTCAAATAGTTTCTTGCAATGAGGTTTAACAGGAAATTATGCTGTTGTGTGTACAAGAACTTCAGGATTGGAATAATTTAAATAGAATCTACTTTTGCTAAATTTTAGAACTAAACAATATATTTTACCTCACTAAGCTCTAGAGTTACTCAGAGGAGAAACCAATTAACCAATTCTGCTCGTAATACGACCAAAAGAAAAGAATGAAGAAGAGGCATTACTTGATCATTCAAAACTGAGTTCAGCTTGAGCTCTAGCTTCAGCTTTTGGAGATTGATTCTTTTCCTGATCACTGAATCCCATAGACTTAAAGTAGTATTCCAAACATCGTGCAGATACTCCTGCATATTGAATTCAAGATTCCTTCAATGAAACTTCAACATGCAACATTAACAAGGAAACAAACTCACTTTAAGATCAAACGCACAATTGAAACCTACTATTAGCTGTTTTCAACTTCTATTTGAAATGAGTAAAATGAATGTTATCAATAAAATCAATATGTTATTCAAAGAATGATTGGAGAAGTGATCAGAATTATCTTCATCCCCTTAAGGCATTAAGATTATACACCCACAAAAAAGGTAACAGCATAAATATGTGGTAGCGGCTCTACCTCTGCACTTTCTTTCTGAATATAGAGCACAGCCTCTGCTCGAGCATTAGCAAACCGCCATTGTAAAAATCTGTTATAGAGCAAGCGGAGCTGATGAGCATCTTCTATATAGCTTGCACCCTTTTTCCCTTTCTTAACGTCTGCAATAAAACTGAGCACAGAAGTTGTACTATTGGATTGACTAGAAGTACTGGATGGCCTTATCCTTGACGGACTTACCCCTCTTGAAGGAGGAGTTGACGGTCTTGCTCGGGATGGACTGACACCTCTCGCAATAGAGGATGAAGAAAATGAGGTCCTACTTGGTGAAGCTGGCCGTGATCCAGGAGTAGGTAAAGACTGAGATCTGGCCGCAGGTGCTGCTATTGTTGTTCTTTCTGCTGAATTTGTTGACAGAACCTTGCGGCGTCCGGATGGTCCTAGTGAATTATCATCAACTGACTTTGGCTCAGTTCCTAATCTATCAATTTCATCAAGCAATAGCAACCTTGCAGCGTCACTGGTAGATTTCTGTAAGGGTTTATTCGAACTACCAGAAATAGACATTCTCCGCAGCGATGACAATCCATTTCCAAGACCTGGCGACGAAGGTCTCAGCGTTTTGTCAGCAAGATCCGTGCTTTTAGCCAACAGATTGGGAGTAATCCTTCCACCAATTCTACTGGGCCATCGATGCTGATCTATCAATCGACTATGCAAACCATCAACCGGTTTTGCATTCTCCGAATGATCAGGGGCATTCTTCCCCTTTAGAGGACTTCGCTTCCTCTCCGGAATAGGCTTCCTTGATATACTCGGCGTTTCAGCCTGTTTATGTGTTACATTTGAAGATGGCCTCAAAGTGCGATCCGGGGAAGCAGCAGTTGATGGTTTTTCCTTCTTACTGACCGGAATGGATATAGTATCTGACTGAAACGAAACACTAAGACTTCTCATGGTGGAAGGCCATAAACCATCGGGTAACCGGCCGGTGGATAGCCGTCTAGATGACACGTGCATATTGATAGATGAATCATGGACCGGTGTAGATAAACGAGGAGGTGACGGTGGTGTTGAGGGCCGCTTCCTCTCAGCCGAAATTGCTCTTTTCGGCACCCCTTGGGAAGGTGAAGGCACTGTCCTTGTAAGGTTTGGAGATGGGCATCGCCGGGGAGCAGAAGGCGTTGATTGAGAGGGTGATTTGTACCTAGAACTCACTTCCCTCATTCGAGGGCCACGGGTAGTGACTGCATTATTCTTTTCGGCTGGAACCAGAGGTGGTCTAATTGCATCCTCTGCTGTGTGCTTGCGCAATTCTTGTTCTGACTCATATACATCCATCCAAACCATCAAAATCAAACCACATTGATGGATTTTTTCACAGAAGCAAACCACAATCGAGAACCTTGCCTTTCATCTATCCCGTATTTCAAAGGAATAATAACACCAGAAACCCAAAAAGAAGATACTTTTCCCTGCAATAAATCTGCCACAAACGCACAAGCCAAAAGTAAGATAGCGAGATGGGCAGCAAAAAAGCAACGAATAATCATAAACCCAATAGAAAAGAAAAAGGGAAAAAGATACATCTTTACAACAGAGACCCAGATCTCTGATTGACGATGAACTGGAGAATCGCAACAAAATAACCAAATGGGTGTTCTTTTTGACATTAAAAAGGGCGCAAACCCAAGCAGATCAAGCCGTAGCAAAGAGATCAAAAACTAATAAAGCATTTGAACAGCGCCAAAACGTAATCAAGGGTCATCGGCAGAGGCTAGCATTGGATACATCCCCACAATGGTTGCATTTAGGTGTCTAGAGGTCCCCTAGGAAAGTGTGGAAACTACAGAGGCCGGACTGTAGGGTAGGCTGGTGAGGAAGAGGATAAGAGCACAAAGGTGAGTAGGATAGGAAATGAATTTTCTGTGAGAGAGAGAGAGAGAGAGAATCGATTTTTGCTATTTGCAATTTATATATTTCGCTTTTGTCCCTCTCACGGGAATGCCATGGTCGGCTGGGCTGGAAAAAATTGAGGATTCACTGGGAGACGGACACCCAACCCAACCCCACTCTGGCTTGCTCCTCCTCTCTGCTTACCTTTTCCATGAAAGAGAATTCAATGAAAGTGATCTTAAAACAAAGGCAAAACAAAAATAGAAGCTCTCTCTCTCTCTCTCTCTCTCTCTCTCTTTCTGGCAAGCGCATTATTGAAAACACAGTGTCAAGTAGAACCATATGGTGTGGCGTACTAAATTTTGTTTAAACAACAAAAATTAAGGTGTTCAAGATTAACTTATAGTGTTTATTTGTTTCCATGCTGATTATTTTAAATATTTTATGATTAGAAGACTGAAATTGCAGGTGCTAATGTTTTTGGAGAAATGGGAAGAGACGCGGAGGACCACGTGGAAAAGAAATCATTGTCATTTCTGTCCATCCTCATGGATTAACAGTGTAACTGATATCCTAATTAAGTAAAAATTATTCATGTAAGAATACATATAAACAACTAAAAATCCTTGAATTATGCGGACCTGGCCTTAAGAAAATAATTATGTTTTGACCATTTAGGAAATTTTCCTTTCCAGTTTTTGAACGTAAATCAATAATGCAAACCTGAGGAAAAAATATATTATAATAACAGAGACTGTAGTTTTGATGTGAAAAATCAAAGATTGTAACGAAGAATCCGAAACATATTATGTCCGTTCTCGACAGGTTTCTGTCTCTGATTTTGTAGACAAAATAGTAATAATCTCTCTCTAATTATAGCTACGAGAAAGTTTCAGAGATCGTGTTCACTGGATCTAACTGCAACAAGTAAGCCAATTCTGTTTTATGCTTAAACACCGATCCTTAATTAGGAATCAAACAAGTTTTTTAAACTTAAATCACAGAAAAGCACAGAGGTAGAGTTTAGAGTAAACACTACCAGTTTAATTTAATCACGATAGAATCCATATAACAAACCCTAGCACACACACAAAAACAAAAAAAAAAAACCACAATAAAAAGGCATCCAGATTATGAAAAGCAAAGGGAAAAAAAATGAAATAAACGATAAATCATACCTTCGTGAATCAAGCAGCAAAGCCAAAAATCCTCCTCAAGATCCAAACAACTTAATATCTCCTATTAAAATAACAAAACAATAATTAAAAATGACAACGAGTTAACCGAAAGTGATCGCCGCAGACTGAAAGACCGGTCGATGGTGGCCGCAGAAGGAATATTCCGGCGAGCGACGCAGCAACTGGCCAGGATTTGATTCAGACCAGATACACAGACAGCGAGAGAGAGAGAGAGAGAGAGAGAGAGAGAGGAATAAATAAAAAATAAAAATAAAATGGGGGAAAATGGAAGAAAATTTGAATAAAAAATGAGGGAAAAGAAACGGTTTTTCGGTTGAGAGAAAACTGAGACGTTGTTTTCGCGCCACCAACTTTTAATAGTCCACAAGAGTAAAACTGAAACTGCTTTTGTTACGCCGTCAAATCTTTTCTTAACCAGGTTTTCGTTGACCAGTTTATCCCTTTACAAAACCTAATTAAATTTTTACTTAATTATAATTTTACCCCAACCTTTTACTAATTAATCCCAAAAAAGCCCCTCACTAATTTTGTTTTTACCTTTTTACTCCCTCCACCTCCAGGTTTCGCACTTTTCCTAAATTTCCCACATACTCTCCCCCCCCCCTCTTAATTTCTTTAAATAAAAATTTGTGTATTTATTTACTTTAACAATTTTATTAAGTTTTTTATTTTCTTAAAACATTGAAATTATTTTTGTAACCGACTCCGAAAATTTTAAATGTGATAAACTATAAATTTAGTGCGAAAGTGAAATAATAAATTATAATTTACGTTTCTTATGCAATAACTGAAAGTACCAAATAAAGTTTACGAGAATAAATTTTTTTAAAAAACGATTACTAATCAATAAAATAAATTAAAAATAAATAAATTGAATGTTCTACTCGCAAATTTCTTGTAAATTGGGTTATATACCCCGATGCTCTTGATCTGAAATAATTAATTGAAAGAGTGACTATACTATCTAAGTAAAAATATCACGCTACTCACCGACATAAAAATAAAAATTGGTATAAATTATAAAAACAACTAATGAAACTTCTTGATTTGAGTAAATTCGTTTCTTATAAATAAAATCGTTTAACACATACTTATCATAGCTAAATTATTTATAGAGTTAATAATATAACACATCATAATCAAATATTGAAACTATCTTTAAGTTTATAAATAAAAATAATAAAAAAAATTAGATTGATATTTCAAATATAGCATATGATTTTGATGTTTATAATAGTAGATAAATAAGCTGACTTTATAATAAAATAATATATTATATAAATACACATGAGATATACGATAGGGAATTGAAAATAAAATATATATTTTGGTCAACAGATTGAGCTTCCAAGAATTTTTGGAGGATTTCTTAGCCGCCCTCCTTCAATTCAGGCTGCATAATAGTTTTTTTTTTTTTTTTTTCTAAATTATTATTAATTTCTTAATCCGTAAAATTTAATTTTAATTAACGATAATTATTTTATAATATTAAAAATTTATTTCATTATTATGTTAATCAGACTGTGATGATTAATTTGATTTAAATTTTAAAGAATTTATTATATTTTTAAATAAAATAAATATTTAATAATATAATAATAATCAATTAAGGTATTTATTAATTTATATTTAAATATAAAATTTTAATATTTTCTTTGATTATATAAATATATTTTTATAAATAATACAGTAATTTAATAATTAATATTCTTATCTTTTATCTAAATATTACGAATTCAAATCTCATTACATCATTTTTTAACTATCTTATACTATTTAAATATCAACGAATTTATTATATTTTTAGATAAAATGAACATTGAATAACAGTTAGATTTTCTTAGTTAAAATAATTATAATTAGATAAAAATTTGATTTAATTTTTTTTTTATTTTGAAGAACAAATATATTTTATTTTTATTTAATTAATTTGAAATAAAATTAGTGTAAATATATAAATAAAATATGATATTTTTTGTAAAAAATTTGGATTGTTTGACAAGTAAAAGTGGTAAAGTTTGGAATGATATTATTAGAGGGTGCAAGAAGATGGCTGGCTAACCATTGAATTATTGATTGGCTGCTGATTTCCTACGCTTCATAAATTTGAACAAACAAACACCTAATTATAAGGGCCCGGCTTGGTGGTGCTTCTATATATATATATATATATTATGTATATATATATATATATATAGATTTCGATTTCTTCCTCAAATTTTTTTGGGTTTTCTCTAAAAAAATTATTTTTTGGGTTAAAAATTTGAGCATTTTTCTCGTTAAAAAAATATGCCAATTTTTTATTCTCTTCTTTATCTTGTTTATTTATAATTATTTTATCTAGTAAGAAAATGTTGGGAAATAATTTAAAATAAAAAATTCATATTTATTTTAATTTTGTAAATTTAATTGTTTGAATTAAAATAATAAAAATAAAGTTCTTAGACCAATTTCAAGTAGCATTGAGAATGTATTTAGGATCCATCAACTTATAAAAGTAAAATTTTAAAGACAAAGTTGATTTATTCTAACCATAGCCTTATAAAGGTTTAAATGAGATTACATAAGATTGGTGTGTATGTATATATATATATATCATAATCACAAAATATGTATATACATGTACATGGTATATACACATGTATATGTACCTTCTAACTTTAAATAAGTTGGAACCCAAAAGTTTATACACCCAATTCATGATTAATTTAGATATATAAATATACTATAATTTTTGTATAAATATTTGTAAGTGTAATAACATTAACTTATTATTAATTTCTATTAAATTTTGTCACTTGTTACAAGCTAGTTATAATTTTTTAAAATAATTATATTGTGTATAATCTATAACTAATTAAAAATTAAATTTTATTTATATAAAAAATTTAGATAGATAAATATTATATATATCTTCAATTTTTTTTAGAAAATTTCTATGAGCATAATTTATAGCCAATTAAAAAATAAAATTTTACTTTTATATTTCAAAAATTAAGTAATTAATTAATATATATATATTATCACATTAATTTTATTTTTATATTTCAAAAAAATAAAAAAATGTGTTAAATATATATATACACATATATATATATGTATGTATGTATGTATATACATTAAAAAAGTTAACAGACATAAGGCAAAAGCCGTGGGAGCTCCTTTGATGGCGGCTTTCTTAATTTTTAGACTCTATGGACCACTTTCTTTGAGCCGAAAGCATACCACTCTTTTACAGCTAATTTCAAGTTTTGTTATTTTAAAATCATTAAGTTAATCAAGTAAATAATAATTAATAATTATTTTATTAATATTTTAAAGGGTAATATCATATATATATATATATGTGTGTATAAATATACCTCAAATTTATAGGGTTTGGCATAAATGTTTTATATTCTTCACATATACACAATTACTTTTGTGGTTTGAATAACAACTTCTATTGTACTTTCTTAAGGGTTCAAAAGGAATAGAAAATTAAGACCCAAAAAAAAGTTATATATATATATATATATATATATAATATGACCCACTTGTAAGTTATGTATATATATATGTATATAATATGTGGGGGGAGCAAAAATTTAAGATAACATTACTTAATTATTCTGAAATTTTAATTTTTATTAATTATTTAATTGTATTCTATTATGCTTATGGAAATTTTGGGTTCGTCCAATACATATGCGAATTCATTTTAAAAAAATTACAAAGACCCAATTAATAACAAGCAATATGGACCCAATTCATATATGTATGTATGTATGTATGTATGTATGTATGTATGTATATATGTATGTATGTATTGTGTTTAAAAGACCCGTATATTGATTCAATGAATCAAAACGACACATGGTTCCAAAATTAGACCACTAATTTGTAGTCATGAAAATATTGAGGTAAGAAAATTTTTCTGATGGAGTTTTCCTCCGGATTGTTAAGTTATCACATGAGATGATTCGGACATATCATATGACTTGTAACCCTCAAGTGGGACCTTCGTCTCATTTTCTTGGGTCCCACTCCTTGTTGTTATATTGTATAATATATATATATATGTATATATATATTTGAATTCTACAATAATGACTAAGAACATTCTTTACTTGGTTCTTGTCATGATTAATACCAATTTCTGATTTGTTTGTTAGTTCTAATTTATGGGTTATATAAAAATAGTCTATATAATATGGGTGTATGTATTGATTTGATGTGTAATGATGGAGAGGGAACTTAATGATATACGTAGACATCATTTTTATAAATGGTAATTAGATATAGCCCTTTCATATATTAGTGAAATTTAAATTCACAATAATTTTTTTTTTTTTACAATAGATAAGAAAATAAATATTATTTGAAGTATCTCAAATATATTAAATTAATATGGTGGGTGTACCTCTAAGATTGTTAAAAAAAAAAAAATTGTATTAATCTGAAAATATTTTTATTATTAAAATAAAAAAGAAATTATTTTTGAATTATATTAATTAGAAATTTAATACTTATATATATATATATATTTTATTAGCATTGTCCTAATCAAAAGTAATTGACCATGCTTGAGGTATTTATGATTTAGTTTGGTTCATCAAATTATGGATAAGGAAGTATATAGGTATGTGTGTGTGTATATGTATATATATTAGACATGTCACGTACACACATATAATACATACATATATATATATATGAATATTATGAGTGAATGAAGGTTACTGAATACCAAATGATGGGCACTCGCGCCACCTCAATCATCCATCTCTATGAATACAAAAAATATGTAGTTGATTTTTGTGTTGTTTTTCAAGTTAAATAAAATGGGTATTGACAAAAAGAAGGAAAATGATGGAACCCATTTGGCTAAAAAGTGAAGTAGCCTTCAACACATGTTATGGATATGGAAATCTTCCATGTGGGTATTAATTAGGAACAAGAATGGTCCAAAAAATTATGTTTGTCCTCTCATATATATATATATATATGTATATATGTAAATATAGAACATATACTGAGTTCTCTCTCTCTCTCTCTCTATATATATATATATATACGAGTAATAATAATAAAAAAATAAGTAGAATTAAAGATTTTGATCGCCGACTGTTTCTTTGTTTGGTTTGTGTGATTATTGTGTGGTTGACATCGGATTCCAAAGCAGACTTATTGACAAGGAGGCAGAGGAATACTGAGAAGACAAAGCAAGTCTGAAATGCTCTGACTTCGGCTTCCCAGCATTAATTTAAACAGTCTTTAAAGAGGGTTTTGTTATTTGAGGTTTCAATATGAAGTTGTAAAGTGGTGAAACTTTGAGTTCAATCTTGAGTTTCACCCTTGAGAAAAAAAAATAAGTTCAATCATGAGCTTAAAAGT